GTTAAGCCTCTGACTCTTGATTTTGGCTCATGTCATGATCTCATGAGTCGTGAGTTAGAGCCCCACATCTGACAGTGTGGAGCCTGCTTGGGATTCTCGCTTTCCCCCTCTCTTTCTCTTTCTCTCTCAAAATAAATAAACTGAAAAATAAATTAAAAAAAGATAACATAGTTGAGATTGTTCTGTATATTTCATTTTGTATCTTATTGCAAGTGCAGTAGAGCTCGGTGTTACTATTGTTCCCAGGGGAGAGGAAGATAGAAAAGTCCTGCTGAAGGTACAGACCAGGGCAGGGGGGTTTTGCCAGGTATTTAATAAGCATTTGAAAGTTGCCCTGTGGACTGACTTTGTCCAGAAACTATTTCCCTGATACACAAGGCTGCAATGGACTCAATGGTCATTCTGGGAGAGGAGAAGCCACTTCAACTGTGATGGAAGCGGGAGCTTCAGAGGGCGAACTTGTTTCAGTACCTTCTCAGAGGGCAGACTTGTTCCAGAACCTTCTCCTGTTAGCATAGCTGGAGGCTTCTTGGGAGTGGCGTAGGAAACGATGATTATTTCAAAATTGAGAGAGGAGAAAATCAGTACATGTGAGTATATGGAGGAGTAAAGGAGACAGATATTAAGAGCATATAGAAAAAAAAAAAAAAACCTAAAAAAAAAAGACCCTAAATTGAAATTTCTGTTCTTTACAGCTGTTGCCCTAGACTATGCCCTGCAATGCAGTGCATCCTATGAAACACCAGCTGTGGCTGGTGTTTGGAACACTTTCTCAGTCTTCTATTGATCTTTTGTACCAGCTGACTTAAATGTCTCTTTGTACACCCCAAGGACAACCTACGGTGTCTACTTGAGAACTTTTCTTAGGGGGTGTGGTTTCCTATTAGTGGTTTCTGGCAGTCTTTGTCTCTGGCTATTGGAGGACAATGCCACCATCTCCTGGGTCAAATATTTGCAGTTTAATGTATACATATATATATATATATACACATATATATATATACACATATATATATATACACACATATATATACATATATATACATTAAACTGCAAATATATATGTATATGTATATATATGTGTATACATATATATGTATATATATATTTTAATGTTTTTATTTAATTTGTACAACTAAACTAGAGGCTTTATTTGGATTTCACCAGTTTTCCATCATGTCCTTTTTGATGATTCAGTTTGGGATACCACACTGCATTTAGTCACTATGTCTCTTGGTTACCTTGTTTTTCATTTTTTTTTTTTTTAATGACAAAAGTGATAGCTCATTGTAAAAATTCAAATAATCTAGTAGTATATAAAATTTTAAAAATGAGGTTTGTTTTGCCCTATACTATTCTCTTACTACCCAGAGGTACCACCATTACCAGTTTGGTGTATATTTCCAGACTTTTAAGTTACACATATTTACAAATATCTAAATATGCTCATATAAATTGTTTTTAAATAGGAAGAGCATCATAGATCTTGCTTTGCAAATTTTTTCACTTGGCAGTGTGTTATGAATGTTTGTGCATACATATGTAAATATATGCATGTATGCATATATATGCTTTCACTTTTTAAATCATTCCTCTGTGAGGAAACTTGTTTCCAATTTGTCTCTAATGTTAATGAGACTACAGTGAACACTGCTGAATTTACAGGGATTCACACTGTGTGTGTGTGTGTGTGTGTGTGTGTGTGTGTGTGTGTGTATCTATGAATATTTCTGTAGGAGTCTTGGGCTCAAAGGTCAAATTGCCTTTAAAAGGCTGTTTATCAGATTACATTCTTATTAAAAATATGGGTAGAAAACATATCAAACTTGAAAGAAGGAAAATAGATTACTGCATCCTCTTTCAGTGTCACACAAAGGCAGTGGTTCTCAAAGTGTGGCATCAGACCTCTGGGAGTGTCTAAGACCCTTTTGAGGGTGTGTGAAATGGAAACTGTTTTCATAATTCTAGGACATTAGTTGCCTTTACCATGCTCATTCTTTTTTGAATGTGTAGAGTTTTCCAAAGCTATATGATATGTGAGGCTGTCACTGCTGTGACAGCTACTGGGAGGTGTCCTTGGCAATTCTTGTGTTGTCTAGAATTTTCTAAAGTGGTAGTTTGAGAATAAACATACATGAGTTTTTAGAGCTTAACTCAGGTTGTTCTCAGTATTCTTACTAAGCTATCTTTGGTTATGCCTGTTAATAGTCTTTGTAACCTTGTAATTATTGAATTAATGTCATCAATAAATTGTTATTTTGAAATGCTAATGATTTGGAAAACTTTAAAAGTGATGCCACTCAGCTCACTCATAGTTGTTTTGCAGTAGAAAATAGAGATTAAAAAATGTTATTTATGTTAGTATGTAGTTTATTGTTTTTAATTGAATTAATGTTTAAATTTTAATTTCTAATGCTATGTTTATTAATAAATATAACCCATTTATATATGTTTAAATTTTAATTTCTAATGCATTTAGCATTATATTAATAAATATAAACCCATATTGGAGATCTTAATTATTTTTAAAAGTGTGAAGGAGTCCTTGGACCACATGTTTGGGAAGTCACTGAACTAGAGCAGTGCCTAAAAATCCACCTAATGGTTAACTGACCCTTTCTGTTTTACTGATTGATTGGGGCCCAGACTCTGTAAGGCCTGATGTTAACTTGTACAATATTGATAAGCTGCAAATGATTTATATTTGGTAGAGTGACCTGTTCGTTTCTGGTAGAAAGGAGGGTACAGTTGTTTAGCCTCATAGGACGTTAATTGTCTGACTTGTTTGTAATCTTACTCTCCCACATTCTTTTCTAGTATCTTCTTTTGTCATCCTTTGGGGTCCTCTGGTAATAAGTTAAAGAAATCTTTTGACCTGTGCTTACTATGTAATGTTTCAACTTTTTGAAAATTATTCTTTGACCACTACATGAGAATTTCTTTTTACTCATGTTCTCACCAATGCATTGTACATCTTTTTACTGGTTTTCCTGGTGCATGAGATGTGCCAGGGTGTTCGTAAGACTTAAAGTTAAAAAAAAAAAATTGTAAACATTTCCGCAGAGTTCAATGGGTCTTTCCGCTCAGGTGCTTGAAGAGGGTTCTAGATTCTAAGAAGGACTAGGTGATTCCCGGGCTTCCCCTTCCATATCCCAGGTAGCACCTTGTGGAGGAGGTGTGTGTTTCCTTTGAATGCTCCTACCCGTGAGTTGGGCCTGTCAGCAGCTGCCTGTCCAGAGCAGGAGTAGATCCCTGGTGTCGGACCTTTCACATGTAACACAGGTTGTATGCAGACAACCTTGTGTAGGGACAAAAACATCTCAAAATAGCACTCTGTCAGGTGAGAGGATGCTATCTTGTTTTGCATTTTCCCGATGCTAGTGAGGCTAACCATTTTTCCTACGTTTTTTTTGGCCATTGCACTCTGTGACTTGTGTGTTCCGATTCTTTATTTTCCTGTTGGGTGCTTGTTGTTTTCTTTTTGGTTTGTACAAATGCTTTGTTATGGATCTCGATCTTTTGTTAAATATTGCAGTCTCTTGCAAGTGTTTTAATTTGGGGGGAAGTTCATTCTGTTACTTTTTCTTCGATGGCTTTGTGGCTTTGTGTCATCCTCATACATAGATATATTCTAAAACTTTTGTGATGCTATATTTTGATTTAATCTATTTTCCATATAGTATGAGATATAGGGATCTGTTACTTTTATGTCCTTATTAGATAAAACTGTAGAAGAGGAGCTTAGACCTTTTTTTGCTGTTGTTCTAATCCTATTATTTTTACAGGTAAAGTGTCAATTTTGATGCTGCCTTCTAGGCTCTGTGCTCTATAGAAGGATTTCTGTTTTGTTTTGTTTTCTTCTTTGAAGATGATACCATATAATAGGAAACAATCCATGTTTATTATGTAATTCCACAGTGATTTTTTTTGTAATGTCATAAGAGGCAGAGATATTTAATCAAGGCTGCATTTTCTTCCCATGCTCTTTTCTATGTTTTATTTTATTTATTTATTTAAAAAAATTTTTTTAACGTTTATTTATTTTTGAGACAGAGAGAGACAGAGCATGAACAGGGGAGGGGCAGAGAGAGAGGGAGACACAGAATCTGAAACCGGCTCCAGGCTCTGAGCAGTCAGCACAGAGCCCAACGCGGGGCTCGAACTCACGGACCGCGAGATCATGACCTGGGCCGAAGTCAGAAGTCAGACGCTTAACTGACCGAGCCACCCAGGCGCCCCTCTTTTCTATGTTTTAAGAACTACTGTAATTGCTTCCTTGTGTTATTGGAATGGTAGCAGCAACCACTTCACGAGTTTTGATTTTACACAATCAAAGACTGCTGGCCCCAGACACCAGACTATCTGAAGATAACCAATAACTGGGGCCTTTTTTAATGTCACAATGACCACTGATTTTTTTTTTTTTTTTTGGTCTTTCTCACTAGACTGTGGCCTTTTTATATCTTGAAGGAACTAAGTCATATATTATTATTTTGTCTAAAAACACACAAAATTAGCTACCGTAGACCAGTCAATATGATTTGCAGATGAGCTGCATAAATCCCAAAATATGGAAGGATTCCAAAATGGGAAAATTCTTGAAAATGTTACTGCTTGAAAATGAATCTATGGTTTCTGTTCTTTCAGCTTGGAAAGTATTTTTGGATTTTGCTTTTAGACATAATATTGGCTCGGTTCCTCCCATATTTGTTTGTATATATATTTAAAACAATGCTGAATCACTATATTAGAACATCTACTTCCTTACAGAAGCAGGAAAAAGAAAAAGTTCTGAATTAGATACATATTTGTATTACAAGGCTGGGTGCTTTCTTTTGAAACTTGGGGACATTTTCAAGGACAGATTTTTAGACTACAATTAAAATAACAAGGTTTGAATTGGTAGGCACTTATTAGATCTCATACTATTTTGGGTGGATATGATGATATAAAAAACTGAGACAGGAGACGTTCATCAAAAAACATCAAAATATATCAAGTCAAAATAAGGTATCAGTCAAATTACGTACCGAGTCAGACTCGTAGAGCCTGTGGTATTTATGACCGTTAATCGCGTAGAAAGGGAAAATGGCATTTGAAAATTAATTGTTCACCATGTGAGACTCTATTATTTGATATCAACCAGTGGCTCCCAAACCAGGCTGATGATCTGAATACAGGTTCCTACCCTGAGATTCTGGTTTTTGTAGATATTAAGAATATTTTAACAAGTTCCGCAGGTGATGAATGTGGGCTGACAGGTTTGGGAACCACTGATGTAGACCCCCGTGTGTGTGGGCATCTTGCTTGTTAAAATACAGATTGCTGGGTCCCCCTCCTCCCAAGTGTGTGACTCCTAGGTGTCTGATTGGGCCTGAGAATTTGCAATTCTATTAAGTTCCCTGCTGCTGCTTTTGCTGGTCCAGAAACCACACTTTGAGTACTACTGACATGGATCTTTCCCAAGACTTCCCAGTCCCAGACTGGGAAACAACAAACCGAATTCTGTGGCAAGGTCTTGGGTTTCTTTGGTTCAAGCCTTTGCATTTCTTTCTCATGTTCTACTTGGTGATTTTCTTCCTCTGGAGTGAGCATTAATTGATAGACCTCTATCCCTGAGAAAAGTTTCGAGTGGAAAGAAGATGATGTTCGCTGGTTAGGGTGGCTGGGCAGGGGAATGAAAATAGCTGAGGAGTTGTGCAGATCTGGGCTGAGATTTCTGTGCTTGACCCTGGTTTTATTGTGATCTTGGGCAGGGTACCTAACCTGCTTTCCAGCCATGGAGCTCCAGTCCTGGTTGCTTGCCATGCTTCCCTCCTGCCAGGACGCCTTTTCTCTCCTCCATACCTGGAGAGTGCGTCCCTTTCCCCTGCGTCTCGTTATTGCTCGCTTAAACTTGGATCTCTGCTCAGCAATCACTTCCTGAGGAAAGCCTTTCCCGACCTCCCTCAGTAGGTCGGGCCCTCCCTTTTTACACACTCAGCACCACGTGCCTGCAGTTTTATATCTACTTGTGTGATAACTTGATTTGTGTCTCTCTACTAGACTATAAACCCTGGGACTCAAGCTGTGAAAAAGTCGATCAGTTTGTGTTCCCTTTGTGTTCTGGCCACAACACAGACACTGTGCCTGACACACAGTAGCTGCATGAGTAGCAGTGAATGGGGTCACATACACAAACAGCAGTAAGGGCAGGGTAGGCATTCCAAAATTGGCTGCATTCCTGCCTGTGGGTTTCCAGAAGACAGTTATTCTTATAATAAATTCCCTGTTTTGTGCAACCGGACTTATTGGTTTCTGTTATTTGCCAGAGCCCTTACAGTAGTACACTATTAATTGAGTGCTTTATACATATGTGAAGCACCAGGTCTGTAGTCTCATGTTGGGCACCGATCTAGGAAGTCAAGAATCTCAGCCTGCTAATATCTTGGGTGTTACTTTTTCCTATGATTCTGCAAGCCAATGTGTATTATAAAGATAGGATCTATAGATAGAGGATGTATTTCCTTAATGCTATATTAAGGAAGAGCAGCAGAAAGCAATTTTATGCTCAAGCCACTATCTCTGAAGTGGTTTTTGGGATTGGGGATAGATGGTACCAAGGGAGAGTAAGGTAATTTTTAACTACTTGCAAACGTGACTGCTCTCTCCATAGAGTGGAATCTTATAATGGGTAACATCTGGAAAGTGCATTCATTTTGTAGAGACAGGATGCTTTAGTTACTGGCCAGAACAGGACCTGAGTAACAATATATATCCCGATTACATCTATGTCAATAAGAAAAGGGATTGATAGGCTATAATTTAGAAAAATAGATTCAAAGAGACATATGAACACTAAATAAGAAAGGAGAGACACCGGCCCAAAGACTCAACCATTCTAGGTCCTAGAGAGAAATTGCTGGTGTGGAAACATAAGCAATTCAATTATACAATTAATTATTCTTATGTAAATATATGTTTACATGCAAGTTTCAGATGAATGCTGAGTTCTCCCAGGGTCTCTAGTGTTTCCTTTTTTCTGGACTGTCTTTTCAAGAATGTTTAGCTCTCTGGGCTCGGACCTAGTTTGTGGCATCATGGCTAAACACAACCAAGGAGGTCAGAATTGCCAATAAATACTGGACCCGTTATGGTACCTCCTTCAGGAAAATGGTGAAGAAGACTGACATAAGCCAGCACGCCAAGTACACTTGCTCCTTCTGTGGCAAAACCAAGATGAAAAGACGAGCTCTGGGGATCTGGCGTTGTGGTTCCTGCATGAAAACCGTAGCAGGTGGTACCTGGACCTCCAACACCACTTCTACTGTCACAGTAAAGCGGGCTATCAGGAGACTGAAGGAGTTGAAGGACCAGTAGAAGCTCCACCATTTGAAACATTGCTTACTTATAATAAATGGGTTAATTGATATAACAATAAACAAAACAACAGCAAAAAGAATATATAGCAACTGGCCTTGAAAGGCATACTAGCTCTCTGGAGCACAGGGCAAGCAAGCTTACTGCACATTATAAAAAAATTAGATTCCCTAAGCTTAGACTTCCTGTCCTCTAACTCAACTCACTGCATGTGCAGGTGTCACTTAGCCCTCTTCTCAGGGTCACGTGAGAACTGGGGCTGACGCCCTGCTGACACTCTGGCTACTACTATTGCCATGAGTAGAAACCCTTTGTCTCTGATCCAGGAGCTTTGTGTCTTCTGGCATCCATGAAACTGGCTGAGCCAAAGCTGGCTCGCTTATGGTCACGGTGACTTGCGTGTCTCTTCCCTTATGACAGTGAACTGACCGACTGATTTGCTTTTACCTGCTGGCATTGTCAATTCTGATTCTACCAAGCTGAGGACCAGTTCCTGGCCTTGGAGAATGAATTAATAGAGACAAACAAAGACCTTCTGGAAGATAGAACCAACAGCGGTGTTCTTAGAGAATTTATATGAAATCAGATTGAAAGGGTTCCTTCTCTGGCCTTGCATCAGTCAGAATCCGATCAGGAGGCAAAAACCACAGCAGGCATTTTTGTGAAGAACTTAATATAAAGGATTATAAGCCAGGTTATTAGAGAAGAGAAAAGGCAAAGAGGGGGCACCGGGGTTTCACAGAGGTAAGAATCATGGCAGTCACGCCTAGGGCTGGGGTAACAAAAGTAAGAGGCTGGGAGAAGCTTAGAGGAGGGCTCTGCTGAGCTGGTACTCAGACCTCTGAGGAGGGGATGCTGGCCAGTTAATGTGGGGGTCTCTGAACAGGGAGGGGTGGTAGTGATCAGGCTGTTCAGGAAGCGTTGGGAACAGTTGCTGCTGCTAGGATGAAGAGTGTTTCGTGGTCATGGTCACACTCGGGAACTGGAAGAAAACAACTTCCAAGTGTCCTCCTGCTGCCTCCTACCGACGGAACCAAACAGGAAGCCAGCTGGCAAAGAGGCATGGCCACAGAGTGATGCCCCAGCATCACAGAACAGAGGAGGATGGAAAGAACCAGCACAAGATTTTTAAAAGCCTGTTTTGACCAAAGGTTGCAAAATGAGAGAAGGAAATAATTTATTACCTGGGGGCAGTTGGGAAATTGCCTGAAGAGTCTCCAGCATTAACTTGAACTTAGTATCTTTCTCTAGGTCAGGGAAGGGAGTAGCCATGGATGGATGACTTGGATATCCTGTATTATTACTTGGGACTGTGGGCAATTACCTGGCCTATTTTGTGGAGTACGCTGGATGGAACATGTTCATATGATCCAGGGAGATAGGCCCACTGGCAACTGTATTAGATTGCATACAATTTTATGGGCTTGTGCAAATTCCCATATCTGCCCACACCTTGATAAAGACTCATACCTTTTTAAGAGATAGAAACCCACAGATGTGTGATTATATTTCACCCATAATTTGTGGTCCACATGACTTCATTGTATATGAGCTGATTTATAAGCAGTAAAGCATAATGCAGACGACAAGTGGTATTTATTATTTGTATTCTTTCTGGTCCTTGGCGGAGTTCCAGAGAGGTTTCTCTGTCCCAGGGAGGATTTCAGAGGAAATAAATAGAACAGAGAGCAAAAGCTCAGAACTTAACAAAATTAACAGAGCAGTTTTACAGTTTTAAAATAATGGCCCTCCTGACCATTCTTTTTTGAAGTCAGAATTTGGACCCAGATAACTTAGACATACATCTCAATAGAGGGCATTAGTCCATGTATTTAAAACAGCAGTGACTGGGGCGCCTGGGTGGCGCAGTCGGTTAAGCGTCCGACTTCAGCCAGGTCACGATCTCGCGGTCCGTGGGTTCGAGCCCCGCGTCAGGCTCTGGGCTGATGGCTCAGAGCCTGGAGCCTGTTTCCGATTCTGTGTCTCCCTCTCTCTCTGCCCCTCGCCCATTCATGCTCTGTCTCCCTCTGTCCCAAAAATAAATAAAAGTTGAAAAAAAAATTAAAAAAAAAAACACAGCAGTGATTGACTTTGACTATGTAAGTATTTGAAAGTTTAATAATAGACATGCTTTTCAAACTCCATTTATTTTTTATTTTTTAAACAATTTTTAATGTTTATTTTTGAGAGAGAGAGAGAGAGAGACAGAGCGTGAGTAGGGGAGGAACAGAGAGAGGGAGACAAAGAATCTGAAGCAGGCTCTAGGCTCTGAGCTGTCAGCACAGATCCTGACGCGGGGCTCAAACCCACAAATGCGAGATCATGACCTGAGCCAAAGTAGGACACTCAACCAACTGAGCCAACCAGGCGCCCCATCAAACTCCATTTTATTTTAATTGAATGGAATGTATTTAGAGTCTGGTACCAGAAGCTGGACAATAGCTCATGCCACATCAGACTTTCCTGGTGGATAATGGTGAGGTCTGAGGTGTTTTATGTGATAGGCATGGTTAGAACGGGGTGCTGCTATATCAGCCTTTATTATATTTACCCAGTTTATTTTGTTGTTTAGATTATGAATGTGGGGAGGCCTATTTCATTCTTATTATTGCCTTATGACTTTTAGTTTAATAGTTATCACAAGTGGGGCGCCTGGGTGGCTCAGTCAGTCAAGTGTCCGACTCTTGATTTCAACTCAGGTCATGATCCCAGGGTCGTGGGATCAAGCCCCATGTCAGGCTCCACACTGAGCCGTGGAGCCTGCTTGAGATTCTCTTTCCCTCTCTACCCCTTTCCCCTGCTTTTGCTCTTTCTCTCCCCCTCTCTCTCTAAAAACAACAAAACAACAACAACAACAACAACAACAAAACGTTATCATAAGTGAAAATTTCATTGACTCAGTAGCTGGTTAAATATGTATACATAATAAGTACTCCTCAAACAGAGCCGGGAAACTTCTCTCCCCCAAACATAGAGGATGCATGCACTTCTGGAATGCCTTTGCTGCGTTTGTAAATTCAACAAGAGGGCCTGAGGAGAGAAAGAGATCAGCTGAAGTTGAACAGCTTACTGGCAACTCTCCTGACTGCTGGACTGGAATTACTTCCCACCCTCCTAATGCATCAGAGCCAATCCTCTGCTATACGCCTGTCTGATAGTGGCACTGTCCCAGCCCCCTGACAGTCGTGGAAAAAGGACACAGTCACTGTTGTTTATGTTAACACTATATGATAAGTACGAGTGCCTGTAAATAAGTGAATGACGTGTGAACACTTCAGCAAGAAGGGGAACCGGAGCCTTCTGGGGAGGCCTGTCATCAGGTGCCGTCAAAGTGGTTTTGAGTGTAAAGGAGAGCTCTTGCCCATGTAGACAAGGTGGGAGGGATGGTTCCGACAGAATGAAGGAAGAATCCACATTGCGGAGCCACAGGTGAGGGGCAAGTCTGGAAAGCAGAAGGAAGGCGTCAGGAGAAGCTCGATTATGTGTCTTGGCCTGAAGAGGTGTTTTGAAACTGCCAGAGATGCTAACTCTCTGGGTAATCAGAGACCGTGTGGCCAGACCATATAATAGACATAGAACTCTGACCCACACCCTACAGCTTCCAAGGGAAGCTTCCCTACAGGTTCCAGGGAAGCAACCCATGCTCTCCAAGAAAACACCCAGGAAGGCAGCCTGCTACAGGTCAGGCTTGTAGGAAGTCCGACTGTTATCTCTAGTAACAATCCAGGAAGCTAAACACCTACCCCTGTAACAATCAGCCCCAAATGGCCAGAACTTGATCAATAACTGACAGCTGCCCTATTTTATCTCCACTTCCAACTAGGGACCAATCAGAGAAAGCCAAATATGCACCCTCTACCCAACCCCATGGGATGACCTGCTTCTAGTTTGCCTGCCTCTAGCTTCCCCAACAGTCTCCAACCAGGGCGCACCTGCAGCCTTCCCTTGGTTTCACTGTAAAACTCACCCTCTCCTCTGCCTGCCTTTGAGTCCCTGCCAGAACGCAAGCGACAGAGGCTGACAACCTTGCTCCAGCGAGCTCTGAGCAAAATAGCCTTTGCTTTTCTCATTTGGTTGGTCTTTCTTTATTTCCACAGGAATATCCTGCTGCTGCCGGTCGGGATTCATGTGCTGCACAGCTTCCCCCTTGTGTTTCTATTTCTACTTTAACAAGCATCGTTTGTCTTTTGCTTGGCATTTTGCCCAAAGAAAATAATAGAAAAAGTTAGATTAACAGCAATGCCGAGGCAAGTCTGCTTTTTCAGGGTCACTAGGAAATGCTGTTGAGTGTCTCCTTTTAGGTAGGGTGGCAAGAACATGGGCTCACATGGAACGGGCAATGGGAGACAGCGCTGTTCTGATGTGGTCTGAATAGCTTTATAATTTTAAAGGATTGCTAAGGGGACATTCAACTCCTCTTGACTTACCCTGTACTTAGTAGCACATCCCAGTCCTCCTTATAAAAGTTTTATTGTTCTAAGAGTGGCTCCAAAGAAATATATTGTGGTTCCACAGTGTCTAATTGCTGGGAACTGTCTTTCAGCTGCATGAAAGTTAATTATATGTTCTACTGAACGCCCCCTCTGAAAATCACATTTGCTTAAAGATTTGGGGCAATACTTACTTAGCCTGCTTTCTAATTTGCTGAGTCTCAGCCATCTATGCCTAATGGTAGTAAACGAAAATAATGTATACAGTCAAAATATATTGACTGTAAGAAGAATTCCAATTTGTCCTTGAGTTTTCTGTTTATAATGCTAATCTGTGCGTTGCTAAAAGTCCTAGTCCCAGCCTCCAGATGTTTGGGTTGAAGCTGCCACTCTGTGCTTGGGAACAGGAAGTTAACAGCGCAGGTTCTGAGGACAGTGAATGGTCAATAAACATGACTATCTGACTGACAAGAGATTGGGATATCTACTCTTCTTGTGCCCTATGATCACATCAGGTGTTTGACACGCTGCGGCTGCAGAGCCAGCTATGACTACAGCGGGGACAAATGAAGTGGGAAGTAAGGCTCGATGTGGAAGCCCACACTCCTTGGCTTGCACACGAAGCTTC